AGTTTGTTGTTTTACACACATGCACACAGACATTATTTCATACACGACATAGTCGTGAGATGCAAGAAACATCTGGCAAGAAATCTGTAGATGCGCCCATAACAACAAAAGACAATACTTCATTGAACCTTTCCTGATAAGAAGTGTGCGCTGCAAACGTGAGCATTTTTGAGGATCGTTTCTGTCCAGTCTGCTCGTTTTATCGCGTTTAACCACAGCTGTCGTCGGTTTTTTGTCTGGCAGTAGCAGCAGCTATGTGTTAAAATTTCAATTGGAGCCTGTACTACGTCGATTCTGGCACCCAATATCACAACAAGATGATATTTTAAGCTCCTTGTGTAGCCGAATCTGCGCTGGTTTGAATGGGCCGCCTCCAGTTTTCCCTTTGTTTTGCCTCCAGCTTCCTTGTGTAGCCGAATCTGTGCTGGTTTGAATTGGCCGTCTCCAGTTTTCCCTTTGTTTTTCCTCCAGGTAGCGCTGTGACATAATTGTGACGTGGCCCCTAAAAGGATCTATTAGGGAAAGCGTAACGGCTAACTTGGATCACGTGTGCATTAATAACCAATCACATTACAGCCTTGACGTCACTGAACTTCAGTCAGAGTTGTGCGACACTCAATCGCCGTTTACAGATACCATAGGAATGAATGAGAAGTGCTGTAAGCTGAAGCCCACCTCTCGCAAAAAGTCTGACTTCTCTTATAAAACAGCATTTTTTTTCACGGTAAACTCTAAAAATAGTTCAATCCAAAAGTGTCGTTTAGTGTAAAACATGTTGAAGATTAGCAGATAGGCTGTCGATTCATTAAATGATACGCAGTTTCCTCTAAAAAGCTGTTTATTCAGCGTAGTGAAGCCTCTCCTCCATTGACATCCATTCAAAAAAACAGCCTCTGGTAAACAAGTACTGGCAAACCGGAAGCGTTAGCATTAGCCATTGCGCTTTTTTGGCTAAAGGTTGCAGGCTTGCCTTCCAGTGGCTTTGTGGCTTCCGGTGTCCTCCGCTTCCAGCTATTTTTAGTTGTGCTCATTTTGCTTCTTGATATTGCAAACTTGTGTTTTTCCTCCATTGACATCCATTCAAAAAAACAGCCTCTGGTCTCCTTTCCCACTTACTGACAAACTGGAAGCATTAGCTTTAGCCGTTACGCTTTTTCGGCTAAAGGTTGCAGGCTTGCTTTCTAGTGGCTTTGGTAATTACGGGGAACGTCGGCTGCGACAAACACCATCTGATGACATTGGCGCTCTCGCGTGATGCTCAAGTCTCAAATGTGACGTATTCATTTTGTTTGCACTTTCTAAGCTTGTTTAATTGCTCCAAATCTAAAAAGTTATTTATTTATTTATTTTTATTTTATTTTTTTAAGAGTAATGATTTGAAACAGCCTTGCGACATCTTTAACTTGCGTTTTGATTTATTACCTGTGATTTGATTGGCTCATTAAAAGTGTGCTATGATGTTATTGGTTATTATTATTTGTCCCTGCCTAAAATTTAAGGTTTTAAAGTTTTCTTCATCGAAAATTACAAAATCTGTTTATTTTTTAAAGAAATGTACACCGCTGAATTGCGCACAATATATTTTTGTTTTTGTTAATTCGTTTGTTCTTTCATCATTGTGCCGTTTTCCTTCAGTTTTGATTTATTAATTGTGATTTGATTGGCTCGTTAAAGGTGTGCTATGATGTTATTGGTTATTATTATTTGTCCCCGCCTACATTATTTTTTTAAGTAACATACGCTAATGAATCGTACATATCATGTTTAATTTATTTTGGTTTTGTTTGCTTTTTTCCCCTTCATTCTTTGTTTTGTTTTGTTTGTTTTCTTTGGTTTTGTTCTTCCAATTGTTTCTTTTTGATTTTTGTTTTAATAAGTTTTTTTTTTTGCTCTCTTATTTTGTTTCTTTCATCTTGTATTATTTTTGCATTAAATGTAGGTGAATAAAGTTAAGTTAATAAACCTGTTTATTTATTTTTTATTACGTACACTAGTGAACTGTTCACAGTATGTTTAATATATTTTGTTTGGTTTGGTTTTACTTTCATTTTTTTATTAATTTGTTATTTTTTACATTCTTTCATTCTTTTATGCTTTTGTTTGTGCTTATTTTCTTTGTTTTTTACTTAGAACGCGGCTCAACCAATCAGAATCAAGGAGCGGAACTCTCAGTTTTATAAAACTCTATATGGCACATTTATTGTTGCGCTGAAGTGTTTTGTTCGTTATTGTGTTCATTGGTGTTGTTTATGGTCGCAGGCCTGCTGTTTGTGCAGTTTAAGAGGAGGAGCTTTGAAGAAAACCACAGATGACAGGTCTAATATCTCAAACTCTGTTTCTCTCATATCGCATGTCAATTACAAGAAGCTACGCGGCATCTGTTCATGCTCGTTTGCCAGACGAACTCTGCATATAAACCGTGCGTTTGGTGTCCCGTCCGCAGGTGGGTTCACGTGATCTGCGCCGTCGCTGTGGCCGAGGCTCGTTTCGTTAACGCTGTGGAGCGAGAGCCTGTGGACGTGACGGCCGTCCCCGACACCAGGAAGAGTCTGGTGAGTCAGGATGAAACCACACTCCTCCTCGTTATTTTACCACGTAATGTTTTAAAATGGAGATTTCTCTGTTTGTTCATTCGCTCGTTTGCGCCTCCTTTGATTTGTTCTGTTGTAGATGTTCGTGTTTTACATTTTTGTGTTTGTGCTTTTGTTTATTGTCTTTCCCTTTCGTTCTTTATTTTTTGTTCATATTGTAGCTTAGTTTATTTTTCTTGCTTTTTACATTTTTTTTCTTTCGTTTTTTTACTTTTTTGTTTGTTAATTCGTAAACGTTTCGTTAGTTTGTTCTGTTTCATTTGTGCTTTTGTTTTGTTTTTTGTTCATTACTGATTAGTTTTTCATTTTTGTTTTTCATACCTTATTTGTTTTTTCTTACGTTGTTTTTCTTTTTCGCTGTGTTCTTTTTTTTAACTTTTAGTTCGTCAATTTTTTTCTCATTCATTTGTTTGTTCTGTTCCATTTGTGCTTTTGTTTTTTTTTTTGTTCATTACTAGTTAGTTTGTTTTATTTTTGTTTTTCATTCCTTTCATTAGTTTTTTCTAGCATTGTTTTTCTTTTTCACTGTTTTGTTCTTTTTTTTTTTTACTTTTTTCGTTTGAGTTTGTAAATTTTTCGCTCGTTCATTTGTTTGTTCTGTTTCATTTGTGCTTTAGTTTTTTTGTTCATTCCTAATTAGTTTGTTTCATTTGTGTTTTTCGTTTCTTGTGTTTTTCTCTTTTTGCTGTTTTTTTTCCCCATTTTTGTTCATTTGTGTTTTTGATTTTTTTTGTTCATTCTTTGTTTCATTTGTTTTTCATTCCTTTTATTTGGTTTTTCTTTTGTTTAAATTTTTTAATTCTTTAGTTTTTTTTCTTTACTTTTGTTTGTTTTTTTTGTTTAGTAAATTTTTCGTTCATTCTTTTGTTTGCTCTCTGTTTCTTCCGTTCTTTCTGTTCTTTCATATGTGCATTCATTTTTTTGTTGTTTGCTTCTTGTTTTTTTTCTCTTTAATGATTTCTTTATTTTGTTTGTTCTTTTTACTTTCATTTAATTAATTTAATTTAATTTTGTATTGTTTTCACTTCGCTTTCATTTGTTTATTCTTTTACTTAATGGCCTTTTCTTAGTTTTTTTTTTCTTAGATTGTTTCATTCTTTTTGTTCTTTTGTTGGTATTTTTATACTTTTAGTTTCTTTGTTAATTTTTCGTTCATTCTTTTGTTTCTTTTCATTCACTGTTTCTGTTTCCGTCATTTTTTTATTCTTTCATTTGTGCTTTATTTCTTTTCTAATTTGTTTGTCTTTATTTTATCTATTTATTTTTTCTTTTGTTTCTGCTTGTTTCTTTCATTATTTCTTTCGTTTTGTTCTTTCCATTCATTCATGGTATTTTTTTTTTTTTCAGTTTTTAGTTAATTTCTTTTGCTTAATTTCTTTTGTTCTTTCATGTTTGTTTCTTGCTTTTGTCTTTCTTTCATTCATTCGTTCTTTAATTTCTCACTTGTTTCATTCATTATTCTAATTCTTTCATTGATATTTTTTAGTTTTTGGCTTCTTTAGTTTGTTTTCATCAATTCGTTCATTTTTCTCTCATTCATTATTTTGTGTTTTCTTTTTTTTCTTTGTTCATTATTTAGTTTCTTTCTTTTGCCTTTTTCGTTCTTTCACTCTTTCTTTACTCTGTTTTTTCTTTCATTTGTATTTTCATGTTTTATTGTTGTCATTCTCCCTCTCTCTTTCTCAGAGGATATGATGCATTATTAATGATGTGCAATGGCTGAATAATCAGGTGTCGTTCCTCACTGTGCTAAATGAGCTGCATTGATTATATAGGCAGGTTTCTTCTCCTCCGCCGTGCATCTGAACGCTGCTCAATGCATTTGTGCCGACAAATACACAACCCAGAGCATCTTCAGCACATGATGACATGAAAAACGTGCTTCGGCGAGACTCATAAACCTCTCGTACTGTTAATACGGCTGACTTGCGCTACCAGTCGCCATTAGCAAGCGGAAAAACCCAGGTTTGCTGGAAATCAGTGCAGTAACGAATGAACACCAAACATTTAGTTTCACTCTAGAACAAGAAACAGCGTCGTATTGTAGATTAAAAGGAGGCCGCTTTATCTGCCAGCTCTTGATGTATGAATGAATAACTGAGAGCTCGATGCTCATAAATCACGTATATTTTTTTCCCTTCTCTTGTCCATTGGCCTGTCTTGCGATCAATCCCTGGCGAATGATAAAGCAGAGGCTTTCACCGGCCGATGAAATATTTTGAGCCGGCACCTCATCGAAAGGCCGTCGTACATTACGGCCGCTTGGCCACAGGAGGCTGAAATGAAGTATTGACAATTTAATAAAGAATTTTTATTCCTGTCGATATCTGTCTGTGTGTGTATGTGTATGTGTGTGCGTTTGGAGGCGATTTATGCGGAAATGCAGGAGAAGAGGAGAGAGACGGGGATGAACGGACACAAAATGTTTCCATTTGAGAGGATATTAGAAAAAAAAAATGCTAAAATATCAACTGCTTTTATTTTCAAATGCACTCTCGTGCCACAAACTCAGCCCTAATTTCTGCGTAAGACTGTTTGTGTTCACTTTATTAGTAAATGTTCATCTTTGTAATCTTTCATCGGAGCTGCTGCTGCTGCGCTCTTGAAATGACTTTCGTTTTCAGCTGACACGTGAAAATAATGTTAGCCAAAAGCCAAATAGCTGCTTAGCATTGACTTAGCAAACTCAGGCCACATTCTGGTGTGAAACTGCCTTTTTCTGATGCGTAAAATCGCTTTTTCTCATTTAATATCTTATTACTAAATGTCTAGTTTTTCGTTCGTTCTTGTTCATTTGCTTGGTGTTTGTTTGTTTCGTTGTTTCTGTTCTCTTTTGTTTCTTGTTATTTTTTTATTTCATTTGGACTTTTGTTTGTTTTTGTTCAATCTTAATTTGTTTCTTGATGTTGTTTTTCAGTTCTTTCACTATTTCTGTCCTTCATTCTTTTCTCTATTTTTTTGTTCGGTTTTTTTCTTCAGTTCGTTAGGTTTCTACATTTGTTTTCATTTCATGTTCTTTTATTCTTTCATTATTTCTTTCTTTTACTTTGTTCTCTTTAGTTTTGTTCTTGCATTCGTTTTGTTTCATTCTTTTCTCTATTTTTTGTTTCTTTGTTTTGTTTTACTGTTTCCTTTCTACTTTTATGTTCATTCGTACTTATACTTGTTTTTCTTTATTTTGTTTTCATTCTTTTTCATGTAGTTTCCTTCCTTTGTTTCTTTTGCTGTTTGTTTAATTCATTTTTATTTAATTTGTTCATTGTTTTTTTCTCCATATTTTTGTTCCTTTCTTTTAGTTCGTTTCCCTTCTACTTGGCTCGTTTCGTTAACGCTGTGGAGCGAGAGCCTGTGGACGTGACTGCCGTCCCCGACACCAGGAAGAGTCTGGTGAGTCAAGACACACAGATGAAATGAAAATCCTCCTTTTCTTTCTTTGTTCATTCTGTGTTTTGCTTCGTTTTATACTTTGGTTTCGTTCACTCGCTCGTTGGCGCCTCCATTGATTTGCTCCTTTGTGTATGTTCTTCTTTTTCATTTTTCCGTTTGTGCTTTTGTTTATTTCTTTCGTTCATTCTTTTTTTTGTTCATGTTGTAGTTTCATTCATTTTCTACTGTTGTTTTCAGTTGTTTGTTCTTTCTGTTCCTTACTGGCCTTTCGTTTGTTTTTCAACTTTTCTCTTTTTTTCCGTTGTTTTCTTTCATTCTTCTTATTTATTTTTTGGTGTTTTTTTCCTGTTCTGTTTCTTTTGTTTGTTTTTGTTAATTTATTTATTTTTTATTCATTTGTTAGTTTGCGTTTTTATTATTTTTTGTTCATTATTTAGTTTATTTTGTCTTATTTGTTCTTTCACTCTGTATCTTTTGTTTGTTTTTGTTTGTATTTTCATTTATTGGCCTTTCAATTGTTTTTTTCTTCTTAACTTAAATTTTTTGTTGTTTTTTTATGCTTTTTTTTTTTTTTACTTTAGTTAGTTCGTAAATTTTCCGTTCATTTATTTTTGTACTTGTACTTTTGTTTTTGTTCATTCCAAATTTGTTTTTTGTTTTTGTTTTTTTATTACCTTTGTTTGTTTTTCTTAAGTTATTTTTCTCTCATTTTTGCTGTTTTGTTGTTGTTTTTTATTTTTGCGTTTTAGTTCATACATTTTTCTCTCGTTCTTTTGTTTGTTCGGTTTCATTTATGCTTTTTTGTTAATTCCTAATTTGTTTGTTTCTTTTTTTTGCTTTTATTCATTTTTGTTTTTTATTCCTTTTGTTTTTCTTTCCTATTGTTTATTTGTTGTTGTTTTCTTTCATTTGTTTCATTTTAATTTGTCAATTTTTCGCTCATTCGTTTGTTCGGTTTCATTTGTGCTTTTTTTTTTTCTTTTGTTCATTTCTAATTAGTGTTTTTCTTTTTTGTCTCTTTCATGCTTCAATTATTTATTTGTTTAAGTTTAAGTTTCATTTTCTATTGTTTACGTTTCTTGATGGCCGTTTTTCTTTTGTTTGCTCTTTCAGTTTCTTATTATTTTGTTGGCTTCTACTTTTTTCTTTTTTCTTTAATTCCCTAATTTTTCGTTCATCCATTAGTTTGCTTCTGTGTTTTCATTTGTTCATTTGTGTTTTTTCGTTTAGTTTCTTTCTTTTGTCTGATTTGTTCTTTCACTCTGTTCCTTTAGTCAGTTTTTTCTTTTGTTTGTATGTTCATGTTTTCTTTTGTTGTTTCGCCGTCATTCTCTCTTTCTCAGAGGATATGATGCATTATTAATGATGTGCAATGCTTGAATAATCAGGTGTCATTGCTCACTGTGCTAAATTAACTGCATTGATTATATAGGCAGGTTTCTCCTCCTCCGCCGCGTGTCTGAATGCTGCTCAATGCGTCGGCACAAACACACAACCCAAAGCAACTTCAGCACACGATGACATGAAAAACATGCTATAAACCTCTCATACTGTTCATGCATCTGACTTCAGCAGTCGCCATTAGCAAGCAGAAACACACAGGTTTGCTAGAAATCAGTGCCAGTAACGAAAGACCATCAAACACTTAGTCTCGTTATTTGCACAGCTTCACTCTAGAACAAGAAACAGCGTCGTATTGTAGATTAAAAGGAGGTCGCTTTATCTTCCCGCTCGCCACGCTCTTGATGTATGAATAAATAACTGCGAGCTGGATGCTCGTAAATCACGCATTTTTTCCCCTTCTCTTGTCCGTTGGCCTGTCTTGCGATCAATCCCTGGCGAATGATAAATCAGAGGCTTTCACCGGCCGATGAAATATTTCCGAGCCGGCGCCGCATTAAAAGGCCGTTGTACATTATGGCCGCTTGGCCACAGGGGGTTGAAATGAAGTATTGACAATTTAATAAAGAATTTTTATTCCCGTCGATATTCCTCTGTGTGTGTGCGCGCGTTTGGAGGCGGTTTATGCGGAAATGGAGGAGAAGAGGAGAGAGACGGGGATGAACGGACACAACATGTTTCCATTTGAGAGGATATTTGCAAGAAATGCTGAAATATCAAGTGCATTGATTTTCAATACACTCTCGTGCCACAAATTCGGGCCCAATTTCTGCATTTTAAGTCAACGTGGAATCAAAATGGACTGTGTTTGTGAACATTTCTGCTGTTCACTTTGTTAGTAAATGTTCATATTTGTAATCTTTCATCAGAGCTGCTGCTGCACTTTTGAAATTACTTTGGTTTTAGCTGACACATGGAAATAATGTTAGCCAGAAGCCAAATAGCTGTTTAGCATTGGTATTCGGCTCAGGCGCCGTTCTGGTATGATAATATCACTTTTTTTTCATTTAATATCTGGTTTATTACTGAATGTCTGCTTTTTGGTTTGTTTTCCTTCATTTGCTTGGTGTTCGTTCATTTGTTTCGTTGTTTCTGTTCTCTTTTGTTTCGTTTCTTTATTTTATTTGGCTTTTTTTTTATCATTATTTTATCATCATCTTAATTTGTTTTTTTGTTTTCTTGACTGTTTTTCAGTTCTGTCTTTCATTCATCTTTTATCAATTTTTTGTTTTGGTTCTTTTAGTTCATTTTCTACATTTGTTTTGCTTTTTTATGTATATTTGTTTTTCTGCTTCTGTTTCTTTTGTTTGTGCTTTTTTAATTTTTTTTCTTTTTTTTGTTTTCTTTAGTTTTGCTCTATCATTCATTCTTTGTTTCTTTTCTCCTTTTATTCTTTTCGGTTTTTATCTGTTTGTTTTAGTTTTTTCCTTTCTACTTCTGTTTTCCTTCTTTCTTTTCTCTATTTTTTCTTTTGTTTCTTTTAGCTCATTCCCTCTACTTTTGTTTCCATTAGTTCATATATTTTTTTATTTTTAGTTCCTTCGTTCATTCTCTTGCTTGTGCTTTTTCTTTTTATTTCATTCACTCTTTCTTTTGCTGTTTATTTTCTATTTTCTTTATTTTATTCATTGTTTGTTTTGTTTGTTTCATTCATTCTTTTCTCTGTTTTTTGTTTATTTTTATAAGCAAAAAAAATGTTTATTTGTTTTAGTTTGTTTCTTTCTCTACATGTGTTTTCATTCGTTTATATGTTTGTTTGTTTGTTCTTTTTGTTTCTGTTTCTTTTTGATTGTTTGTTCTTTCATTCTTCTGTTTGTGTCTTTTATTTTATTTATTTATTTTACTAGTTTGTTGCTTTGTTCTCCATTTCTGTTTGTTTATTCCATTTTTCTTTGTAGTTTTTTTTTTTTTAAATGAACTCTTATGCTTTTTCTTTGGGGGTTTTTATACTTTTCTAAAATTGACTATCTTTGTGAACATTTTGGATGTTTTATTGTAGTTCACACATTAATAAATGTTTGTATTTGTAATGTTTTATTAAAAAAGACGTTCTTTAGCTGTTTACTATTAGCCTAATAGCTTTATAGCACTGAACTCCCATTTGGTCTTGGCTCCAGTGCCCTTTTCCTGATGGATAAAATCACTTTTCATCATTGAGTATAGAAGTTCGTCATGCTACAAAGGTTGCAACTCAAGTTTCATGTTTCCTCGTTACAATTTGCAGAAGTGCGTCTACTGCCACAAGACGACCAAGCAGATCTTCGGCGCGTGTATCCAGTGCTCGTTGGACAACTGCTCCACGTCCTTCCACGTCACCTGCGCCCTCCTCGCCGGAGTCGTCATGAAGCCGGCCGATTGGCCGTACGTGGTGTCCGTCACCTGCCACAAACACAAACAGACCAATCAGAAGGTGCGTAGCTGCTATAGAAGGGATCTCAATGCACACGGTGATCCTCAAACTGACGCTTTGCCTCCGCTGCAGGTCAAAAACAGCTCCCGCGAGCTGTCTTTAGGTCAGGAGGTCATCGGCAGGAGCAGCAACGGTTGGTTCTATCGCTGCACCATCACCGGCATCGGCACGCAGAACTACTACGAGGTCAACTTTGATGACGGCTCCTACTGTGATAATGTCTTCCCAGAGAACCTGCTGGTGAGAATGTTTTTTCATTATTATGGTGATCATGGTTGCCAAGTGGCTTTGGTCTGGAAGTCCATTTCCACCACTAAAAAAAAAAAAAAAAAAAAGGAAATT